GGGTGGCTCAGTCGGTTAAGTGTCCGACTTCAGCTCAGGTCATATTTTGTGGTTTGTGGGTTGAGCCCCATGTCGGGCTCTGTGCTAACAGTGCAGGGTCTACTTGGATGCTCTCTCTCCCTCTCTCTCTGCCCCTGTCTCAACCGCACTCTTTCTCTCTCTCAAAATCAATAAACTTAAATAAATAAATAAATAAAGTTATATTTTACTTGGTTTTTTCATTTCCTAAGAAGTATTTCATATAGTCTGGAATGAGGGTGGGCATGAACAAAGAGCACTCACCAGTTGCTTCTTCATCAAAGCAAGCAAAAGCATTTCTGATGACATCTTCCGGATCTGTGCCGTTTAATTTCTCACCAAACATTGTAAGGAACATGGTGAAATTTATGGGCCCTGGAGCCTCATTCATCATGGCATCAAGGTATGCATCGGTTGGATTCTTCCCTGTAAGATTTTACATTTTAACATTAAAGGACAAAGAACTCATTTCAACACATAATTATTTGTTATTGTTACGCTCCCAACATATTTTTAAGTTACATCATCATCACATGAAACTATTTTTTTCAATTAACTTGCAATAAGGACATTTTAAAAAGACAAATTTTTGACAATGTAAAAAAATCTTTGATACATCATTATAAAAATATAGTGTGGGCTTAGGTTGCATGTTTTTCATTCATTGATACTTTCTGCAACTTTTCCTTCACTATTTTTCATCAAAAACAAGCACCAGAGGGGCACCTGGGTGGCTCAGGTGGGCACTGGACTTCTGATTCCAACTCAGGTCAAGATCTTACAGTGGTAAGATTGAGCCCTGCATCAGGCTCTGCACTAGATGTGGCACCTGCTTGGGATTCTCTCTTTCTCCCTCTCCCTCTGCCCCTTTGTTGCTTACATGCTAGCACCCTTTCTAAAAACAAACAAACAAACAAAAAAAGAAAAACAAGCACCTGAACCCATGAACCAGGCAATGCCACAGTTTTACATCTCGAATGTTGATAATGTTAAAGGTCCATCAGGGCATTTCAATGCCAGTTGTTTAAAAATTTGAAATAATTCATATTTCTTTTTTTAAATGTTTATTTTTGAGAGAGAGGCAGGGAGGACGGGGGACAGAGGATCTGAAGTGGGCTCAGCGCTGACAGCAGAGAGCCCGATGTGGGGCTTGAACTCATAAACTATGAGATCACGACCTGAACTGAAGTCAGATGCTTACCCGACTGAGCCACCAAGGCGTCTTGAAATATTCATATTTCCAATTGTGGCACAGTTGCCCATGAATTAGTATTTTCAAAAATTTTATTTATAAGTTGGTCATTTAAGCTAAAACTACTAGGTTGGCTTAGAATCCTGAGCTCATTTTTAACAATAGTATCTATTACTCAGTGGCCAGACATATATGCAAATGCTGTTTACTCATATGGCAGAACTAGTTTAGTATTGCTCATAATGGGAAATCTTAATCTCGGTTCCAACTAAGAATGCTTCTCCCCATGGAGGGAGATTCCCCTGACCCTTCCTTTGAAGTTAGGAGAAAGTCCCCTGGGAAGGGCCAGTCACGGTAGGAATGACAAAGGGCTCCTCTTTGTCCAGGCATTTGTGAGGCCCCCCATGGTATAGGAAAAGTAGCTGTGAAAGAAGGAAGCATCTAGAATTGTGGGTTTGAATCCCAGTTCTGCCACTAGCTTTGTTACTTGAGAAAAGGAGGCAGTTGTCTAGGGTTTATTTTTTTGATCTGTAAAATGGACTGGTTAAACTTGGTTTCTTAAAAGTCCCTCCCAACATTGTTTGTACTGATTCTCTATGAAAAGAATATCTTAAGTTAGATGTTCATATCTAAGGAGAATATTATACCCAACTAAGTGCTAACAATCAAATCTAGAACTGTGGTTCATACGTAGTTTTCATCCTGGGAGTTTGGGCGAAATATGAATGCCAAGTTGGCATCTGTCTTACTATAGATTACTTGTCTCACTCATTACACCTATTCAACATACCAATACAAAAATTAGCCCAAAATTAATTTTAAGATTCACTGAGTCAGTGAAAGGAGCTAAAAAGATCTACTTTTCTACCTTCAAGTTTAATTCAACTCTCTTGCCCCAATTTTTTGGGAAAAAGTCTAACCCAAAGGTGTCAAGAGAACATGGGTACAGGAAAGACACGGGGATTAAAAATGAATTGGTTTAGGCTAAGCACCTATGAACCCATTCAAGGCACCCAATATAATTTGTTGATCTGAAAGATAAATAAATACGTATCTTTAAAGGCATGGGGCTCCCCAAAATGGAAGGCCCTAAAGTCAGCCTCTTACTCTACCATCCCTCACTCATCCAACAAAGATTAACTGAACATCTATTATGAGAGGGCACAGGTTTGAGTGTTCAATCTTTGTAATACAACTAAGTCCTTCAATTTTCTTCTGTGGCCTTCTTCACTAGTGGCGCGCCCAAAAAGCATACACTTAGCTATTTTGAGTGTGAAAAGCACTGGGATCCAAACTACCTCCAAGGCAACAACTTAGTTCAGTATCCTGATTCTACTCTCACTCTGACTAAAGAAAATGTTGCAAAATGTTAACTATTGGTGCATCTAGGTAAAGGGTGTATGCATGTTCATTACACTGTTCTTTCAACTTTTTGCAGGCTTAAAAATTTTCAAAATAGGGACTCCTGGCTAGCTCAGTCACAAGAGCATTGCAACTTCATTTTTTTTTTTTTTTTTGAGCATGTACCTCTTGATCTTGGCATCATGAGTTCAAGCCCCACGTTGGGCATACAGATTACTTAAAAATAAAATCTTAAAAAGTATTTTTTTCAAAATAATATATCAGAAAAAAAAATAGAGGAACAAAATTATGTTGTGTTACTAAGAGGGAAAAAAATAACATCCCCATTTTTTGCCCTGTGGCCCCTGTTCTGGCTAACAGTCAAGCATAAGAAAACTCCAGAGTGCAGACAGAGCCTAACTGTAGGCTATTGGTGACCTGCACTCCCTTCCCTGCCCAGTCTATAGAGAACTCCTAGGTTTGCCATTTCCAACTGTAAAATCACTGCTGACTTGGGATAGAACATGGAAGACCTTCCCTCCCATCTTTCTTTTTAAGATCACAACAAACAACAAAATCACACAAGGAATAATAAATTAACACCCATAAAACCAAGTAAGGTGCCCAGACAACCAGAGGGCAGTTTATGTTTGCTTTAAATCTTGTTATTTTTACATTTTATTTTCTTCAATTATAAAAAAGTTATAAATAAAATCCTCTTATGACTGGCCAATCCCAACATGGCACTTCCCACCCAGACATCTCTCAATAAGCCTTCGAGGAATACTTACTCATGATGCAAAAAATAATTCAGAAAACACTGAGTTATTATTTTGGGGAAGTGGGCATATTAAGGATATAAAAGTCTACCTAGAGAAGCAAGCATATCATGCAAATCTTCCTTGTCAATGAAACCATCTCTGTTCTGATCAATCATGTTGAAGGCCTCTTGAATTCTGAATTGGTCGCGATGTTTGGATGTTGCGCGCTGGGGACGCTTCTTGGTGGTCTTGGTCTTTGCCTTTTTGCTCGACATGGTGGCTATTTAATTCTAGAGTTAAAAAGAAGAAACAAAGCAAAGGAGAATGCATAAAACATAAAACAAAAAAGAACCTGTAACACCTAAAAGTTAGCAAGTAAAAATATCTTTTAAAAAGAATATTTATTTCGAGGGAGAGTGACGGTGGGGGGGGGAGGGTGTGGGTGGGGAGGGGCAGGGAGAGAGCATGGGGGAGGGAGGGAGGGAGAGAGAGAGAGAGAGAGAGAGAGAGAGAGAGAGAGACTCCCAAGTAGGCTCTGTGCTGATGTAGGGTTTGACCCCACGAACCATGAAATCATGACCTGAGCAGAAATCAAGAGTCAGATACTTAACCAAATGAGCCACCCAGGCACATCAGTGAGTAAAAATAGGTTACTGTAGAATTATTACTTCAATTGGGTAAGAATACATATACATTTAAGCTTTATTTCCAATGTGACAGTTAAATGGCTAGGAAAAAAGCAGTTTTGAAAATTTTAAGAAACAGAAATCATTATATAGGTTGTCCCCAAATTCCATGAAACCCATTTTTATTGAGTGGAAATTAGTTTAAAAATACATACCAATAGCCAGCATTTACTGAGTAGCTTACTATGTGCCAAGCACCGTTAAGAGGGTTTGGGGCTCTCCTAAAGAGAAATGCTCCAAAGCTGACATTTTACTTTTTACAAGGACTGTCCCATTGAATCCTCATAACAATCCTATACAATAGGCACTCTTCTTTTTACTCCATTTTACTACCAATATTGCATAAACTCTCTGAGTCTTGGTTTTTCAAAACAGTGTGGAAACCAGGGAAGCTCACTCGATCTTCAGTTTTACAGCAAAACACAGCCTCTAGTTCAGTGTAAGTGAGACTTAAATGAGAGGACATTTGTAGAGACTAGTATAGTCACTGTATGGTACATGTTCAAAGGCTCTCATCTTTAAAAAATTATCAAAAGCTACTCTTTTTTCATTACTTTTTAAAAGTCATCTCTATGCCCAACGTGAGGCTCGAACTCAGGACCCTAAGATCAAGAGTCACATGCTCTACTGACTGAGCCAGCCAGGCATCCCAAAACCTACGACTCAATCTTGCATCCCTTCCTTTGACATTTCTCCTTTCCTTTGACAAAACTTTTAGAATACCAGTGTAATACTCAACTATTTTCATTTTCTCATCTTTTCAATCACTCCTCAATTCTCTGTAATATGGCTTTGGTGGCAGCCTCCAACACTCTATTGAAAGCCACCAATAATTTAAAGTCATTTTTTTTTTTTTAATGTTTGTTTATTTTTGACAGAGAGAGAGAGGCAGAGCATGAGTGGGGGAGGGGCAGAGAGAGACAGAGACACAGAATCTGAAGCAGGCTCCAGGCTCTGAGCTCTCAGCACAGAGCCCAATGCGGGGCTCGAGTTCATGACCTGAGCTGAAGTCGGACGTTTAGCTGACTGAGCCACCCAAGCACCCCATAAATGTCAAATAGAATAAACACATTTCATTCCATTTTTTATTTGCAGTTTCAAATAATGTAGATAAACGCAACACAAAAATACTATCAGCTTTGGGATTAGAAAGTCCTGAGTTCAAACCTCAGCTCCACCATTACTAGCTACATATTATCTTGGAAAACCCAGAGGCACCAGAGCCATTTTTCAATCCAATGTCTTATTCCATCTTCACAATTGCCCTATGAGATAGGTATTATTTAGGTTAAAATATAAAATCAATGGCCCTGTGTAGTAAACAATTTTGCTCAAAGAGAGTCTTGGCCTTTTCCCTCTGCTCCTGGGAGGTAATCTCTAAGCCTGTGGAATGTCCTGCTGATATCAGGGTCTTGGGTCATATCAGACAGCCTAATAATGTAATTTATTGTGGGGGCTTTGGGTCATGTGTTATCAGTTTGACCACTCAAGGGGTTGGAGACTGAGGTCAGCCACAGAGCAGCTGACAGTATTTATGTGATAGAGCCCCAGTAAAAACTATGGATATCAGAGATCAAGTAAGCCTTCCTAGTTGGCAATACATCATGCATATTGTCACATCTTATTGCCAGGAGGGGTCAACACTGTCCAAGGAAGAGGACAACTGGGGGCTCTGCATTTGGAACCCTCCTGGACTATGCAACATACATCTCTTCCCTTGGCTGATTTCAATCTGAACCCTTTTACTGTAATAAACCATAACTAACAGTATAACAGCTTTTAATGAGTTCTGTGAATCCTAGCAAAGTTATCAAAACTAAGGGTTGTCTTGGGGACCCAAACTTGCAACCGGTGTCAGAAATGAGGGTGGTCTTGGGGACTGTTCTCTAATTCTGTAGCTCCATAGTGTGAAAGCAGATGACTAGATGGGACAATGGCTGACCAAGGCAATTTTGGACTTGGGTATCTAGGACTTTTAGTCTTAGACTTAATTTTTTTGGTACTGTTTTTAAGATTGTAATCTCTACACTCAATGTGGGGCTTGAATTCACAACCCTGAGATCAAGAGTTGCATGCTCGAGTCTTGGACTTTTAATCTACATTGTTTACTTTTCTTTTTCAATTCAAAAAAATACACCAGTGGGTATTCTAAAGCTTGGCTTAGTGGTGCAGGTTGAAGTACATCAGCCTTAGAGTTTCTCATTCTAACATTCCAACTCCTTCCCTACCCCACATACTTGTCCTGAATAAATGTTAATTTTCTCTTCTGTCCTATAACTTAGCTTATTTCAGCTTAGTTATATTGAAGGTTAGAGACAGAATGTGGTCCACCAGCAAGGCACTTGACTATGCTTTAATTCTTCTTCCCATTCCAAAACTGTTGGATCAAAATTTTTTCATGCTAAAAATCCTAAAATTCTATTTCTTCAAGTAATAATATGTACATAAGACAGTAAATAGGAAGGCAAGAATTAGTTCTCTCAGTATCCACAAATTATGTTTGTAATAGTCACTGAGAAAAAACTCCCAAAGAGTAAATTTTTATTAAAAAAAAAATTGGTTGTGTCATGCTAACCTTACAGCTACCCAAAATATTTAAGCATTTCTGAAGCTTATTTGGAGTTCAGGAAGCTGCTGCCAAGATGAGATTAAACACGCAAAATTTTTTTATTAGGGGAAATGCCTGTGAGAGAGAATGGGGAAGTAACCAACAAGGCTGGAAAAGCCCTTAGACAGTGAACCAAGTCTGACCCCTAGAGTGAAGGAAACAGGGAAGGAAAGCGAAAGACAAGAGCAATTCACTAAATGACCCTAATCAAAATATGTTACAGAGCAGATAATAGGCTCAATATAACACCACAGTTTCTTTTAAAAGTTTTTTTTTTTTTTTTTCTTCCTGGGGTGCCTGGGTGGTTCAGTCAGTTAATTATCCGACTTTGGCTAGGGTCATTATCTCACGGTTCGTGGGTTCAAGCCCCACATCACGCTCTGTGCTGACAGCTCGGAGCCTGGAGCCTGCTTTAGATTCTGTGTCTCCCTCTCTCTCTGCCTCTCTCTCAAAAATAAACATTAAAAAAAATTAAAAAAAATTTTCATTACCTCATGTTAAAATAGTACACATTTTAAATAGTACACATTTATACACATATAAGGTACCTATAGACACTACACACATACGCACATAAAATATGAGCTGATAATAAAATATCAGCTGAAGAGTGAAGCCAAGTTGTAGCAAAACAATCAATCTCAAAAGAACTCTACCCCCAAAAGAAAATACATTCCTCTTTCTCCTTTTCTTCTGAGATAAGTATCTTGGCTTTCTCTACTTTCTCACTTCCCACTCACTCTCAACCCACCACAATCTGGCTTTTCTCCCCTCTACTGCAACTGCTTTCAAACTGCCAAATCCAGTCTAACTCAATGGATCCCTCTGCTGTCTCTGACACCATTTTATCCCTCTTGGCCTTGGTGAACAGTAACAGTAGAAATGAACTGTCCAAAATGGAAAGAGAATGCAAGGTTCCCAACCTTGTATACCTTCCACTCCTGATGAAGTAACATGGGGCAAGCTGAGGGCAAAGTGCAGGCCAACAGCTACCCCCTGCCCCCCACACAGGTGGGACATGTATGATACTCCTTGGACACTCCAGGCTACCCAAAACAAGGAAAGGACAAAAAACCCAAAAATAAACAAACAAAAAACACTCAAATGGTTAAACTGATAAGAGTCCCCACTAGTTTACCAGAAAAAGGCAACCCCATCATAGCCTGAAGTCCAGGAACTCCCTGCGACTTAATGTTAATGCTTTGCTAGAGGGAAAAACAACCTTAGGTTGACAATAATAGCTAGGCCTCCGGTAAGTCTTTTTTTTTTTTTTTAATTTTTTTTTTTTTAACGTTTATTTATTTTTGAGACAGAAAGAGACAGAGCACGAACGGGGGAGGGTCAGAGATAGGGAGACACAGAATCCGAAACAGGCTCCAGGCTCTGAGCTGTCAGCACAGAGCCCGACGCGGGGCTTGAACTCACGGAGCGCGAGATCATGACCTGAGCCAAAGTCGGCCGCTTAACCGACTGAGCCACCCAGGCGCCCCTCCAGTAAGTTTTTAGTATGTGAAAGTCTCTTTGGAAACTCCCTCTACCCCAACTCCATAAACCCATAACCCCCCACACTTACAATGCACAGGCCCTGTCCCCATGCCTTAATAAAATCACCTTTTTGCACCAAAAACTTCAAGAATTTTTTCTTGTCCATTGGCTCCGAACCTCACAAACCCCACCCCAAAACCTCATAACTCTCAGGAGGGAAACTCCTAAATGTTATACTGGAGAGGTTCGTTTATGTTAAATACTTGGTTGACTTGGTGATACCAACTTACTCTTCTCTCAGTTCTATTTCTATGATTGGTCCTCTTCCATTTTCTTGTTAGGCTCTTATCTTCTCCACTCACCTAGGTATTCATGTTTCCCAATATTCTAGCAGTCCATGGCTTATTAAAATTCTTTCCATTCTGCTTTCCTTGATCTCATCAACTCTCACTGGTCTGACAACATTCAATGGCTCCCAAATCTGTATCACCAGGCCTGACCTTTCCCTTGG